GGCTAGTTTTTTGTATTTTTTAGTAGAGACGGGGTTTCACCATGTTAGCCAGGGTGGTCTAGATCTCCTGACCTCGTGATCCACCTGTCTCGGCCTCTCAAAGTGCTGGGATTACAGGCTTGACAAAATTATTATTATTATTATTATTATTATTGAGACAGGGTCTTGCTCTGTCACCCAGGCTGGAGTGCAGTGGTACAATCTTTACTCACTGCAACCTCGCCATCCCAGGCTCAAATGATCCTCCTGCCTCAGCCTCCCAAGTATGTGGGACTGCAGGCATGCGCCACTATGCCTGGCTAATTTTTGTATTTTTTGTAGAGATGGGGGTTTTGCTGTGTTGCAGGCTGGCCTTGAACTCCTGGACTCAATGGATACACCCGATTTGACCTCCCAAAGTGCTAGGATTACAGGCGTGAGCCCCCCGCTCAGCCCTCATTTTCCATACCATTTCCACGTGAAATTACACATTAGGCTTATCTGACCTTTTATGGAGATTAACTAATTATAATCTCTATTTCCAGTTCGTTTCTAATTCAAAAAATCAGGGAAATTGGGAGGTGAAATTTTCACTGTTTTTTACTCTCCATCCCACCCCCACCAACAGAATTTGAGCATAAAAACTGACTCCACAGAAAAGAGAGGTTAGAGCACTTATATCTGAAACTTGAAGTGAAATATGGAGGTAGGATGGCCCCTGGCACAAACCATCTTTGTCTGGACTGAGAAAGAATCCCACTTGTCCAAGAGCAGGGAAAGGAATGGGTGTGGTCTGAACACTCTCCCACCTGAATGCTGATCTGTTCTGCTTCTTGAGCCATCATCAGGGCCACCCCCAGTTTCTGGCTGCAGTCATTTCTGCGCTTTTTCTGAAATGGAAGAAGATTAGAGCCAATGATAAATATCGACTTAAAGATTAGAATAATGGCCAGGTGCAATGGTTCACACCTGTAATCCCAGCACTTTGGGAGGCTGAGTTGGGTAGATCACGAGGTCAGGATTTCAAGACCAGCCTAGCCAAGATGGTGAAACCCCATCTCTACTAAAAATACAAAACTTAGCTGGGCATGGTGGAGGTTGCCTACAATCCCAGCTCCTCAGGAGGCTGAGGCAGAGAACTGCTTGAACCCGGGAGGCAGAGGTTGCAGTGAGCTGAGATCACGCCACTGCACTCCAGCTTGGGGGACAGAGCAAGACTCCATCTCAAAAAGAAAAAAAAAAAAAATTAGAGTCACTAATAAATATTAGCAAAGTGACCCCAGCATACTGCTACCCATCTGACATTCTTTTCAACTACAACATTTATTTCCAGTTCCTAGTATTGATACGATACTCCTTAATATTTTGGGATCAGACATAACACCCCCCTTTCGTCTAATAAACATCTCACCAATTCCTAACTATATATATGTATATATTTGGAGGCAGAGTCTCACTTTGTCACCCAGGCTGGAGTGCAGTGGTGCAATCTCAGCTCACTGCATCCTCCACCTCCCTGGTTCAAGCAATTCTTGTGCCTCAGCCTCCTGCTGGGACTACAGGCACATAGCACCATGCCCAGCAAATTTTTTGTATTTTAGTAGAGACAGGGTTTCACCATGTTGCCCGGGTGGTCTCAAACTCCTGAGCTCGGGCGATCTGCCCACCTCGGCCTCCCAAAGTGCTGGGATTACAGGTGTGGGCTACCACACCTGGCCCTAGCAATATTTTCAACCAACATTTTGGTGTCCTCTCCAAAGTGAATCCCATGGAAATTTGAAGAGAGGATTATAGGAGCCCAGGTGATTTCACTTTGAAGCTTCTGACAAGTTTCTTTAGATCCAGCTGTTTGATTTAATACTCATTGCTTGATTTTCTAAAGCCCCTGGGCCACTAAGCCTCTGCTCATTTGCAAGGCTGGTCAAACCCAAAGTGACTACTGGGAGGAAATGTGATTCTGCTAATCCAGTGGTTCTCAACCGGGTAGACTGTGCCCTCCAGAAGGCACCTGGCAATGGCTGGAGATAATTTTTTGGTTGTCACAACCACAGGCAGGGGGCAGAGGGTGGAGGTGGGAGCTGCTGCTGGTTAGATGCCGCTGGAGCCTAGGGATGCTGCTAAACATCCCATGATACACAGGACAGCCCTCTACAACCAAACATTATCTCCCCCAAAATGCCAATAGTGCTGAGACTGAGAAATCCTGAGTTAATTTGTGCCTTCATTTCTGCCACACCTGCTTTGGCTAAACTGTAGAAAAACCTCATCTTCAGAATGGCCCCCCATCTGCAGGCAGGGAAGGGGACTGAAAAAAATAATTGCCCTGCTGCAGTCCTAGGAGCAAAAAGAGTCCCTCATGAATTACCTCACCCTTGGCACACCTGGTCAGACACAGAACTTTCTCCCGACATGGCTTAGCCTGGGAGAAAATCAGGTTTAATAAAAGGAAGATTTTATTTCCTCTGTATCACAACAGAACCCCAAGATGTGCTCACCATGCCTGATAGCTCCAGGGACAGCTCCTGGAAGTTCTTTAGCATGTTGACTGGGATCCATGCACGAGAAACTGTTTCTCCAAAAAATGTCACGTGGTACTTAGACTGAAATAAAAGATGGTCCTGTTATGGACTCCTGTCCTGCTCCCTGCTTTTCTCCTCTAGCCAGAAGGAGGTGCTGGGCCTCACATGCCCCCTTGAAGCCTGACTCATCTACCCTATCCTCGTTCCGATTGTTCTTCCACTCTAACCTCAGGAATCCTAGCAAAGCATATTTATCAAAACCACTAACGCCCTGACAGTGGATAAATATTTAATTAGATACAAGTTTGTTTCTATTATATGTGTGAGCACTTATCTCTGTGTTTGTCCTCCTAGTTAAGTATCTGTTTTCACTTGTGTCTCCTAGTTATGTCCATGTCTCTTATCTGTACATCTGTGAGGATGGATTTGTTCATTACTTTGGCCTGAGCTCCTTCTTACCCTGAACCAGGAAACTCACCGGCAGGGAATCAAGGTGGGAAGTAAAAAGAAAATATTCTCCTAAGTCAGGATCAGATTCTATCATGCCTGGCCACCTGGAGAAGATAGTTGGGTGCAGGGGACAGAAGAGAAGGGGTTAGATGAACAGAACACAACCTCATCAACGTACATGCACAGAAAAGAGCAGTATGATTTTTTTTTCTGAGACAAGGTTTCACTCTGTCGCCCAGGCTGGAGTGCAGTGTTACAACCATGGCTCACTGCAGCTTCAATCTCCCAGGCACAAGTGATCCTCCCACCTCAGCCTCCTGAGTAGCTGGGACTACAGGCAAATGCCACCACACCCAGCTGTTTATTTTATTTTTTGCAGAGATGGGGTCTCACTGTATAGCCAGGACTGATCTCAAACTCCTGGGCTCAAGCAATCCTCCCACCTCAACCTCCCAAAGTGCTGGAATTACAAGTGCGAGTCACTGTGCTCAGTCAGCAGTACGCTTTGAAAAAAAAGGATCTAAAAAATAGATTCCTCTGCCATCAGCCCCCTCTAGTGGTCACTACTCAATGACTCAGATGAGGAAGTGACTTCCATCAATGCACACAGGAGTTCAGAATACACCTAGTGAAGGTCTTATCCTTCTGAGCCATCCCATAATCCTAAAAACAAAATCTTCGACTAGGGACATCTCCAGAGAAGAAACTATTCCACTCTTCCTTGTTCCCTTTACTTTGTATCTCTCAATCTCAATATTTTTATTTATTTTTGAGATGAGGACTCACTGTCACCCAGGCTGGAGTGCAGTGGTGCAATCTTGGCTCACTACAACCTCTGCTTCCCGGGTTCAAGTGATTCTTCTGCCTCAGTGTCCTGAGTAACTGGGACTACAGGCATGCGCCACCACATCTGGTTAATTTTTCTATTTTTTAGTAGGGATGGGATTTCACCATGTTGGCCAGGCTGGTCTCAAACTTGTGTGCTCAGGTGATCTGCCCGCCTTGGCCTCCCAAAGTGCTGGGATTACAGGCGTAAGCCACTGCGCCTGGCCAATCTCAATATTTTTAAATGCCTCAGATCCACCCTCTTCTTTCTACCAGCTGGGGTAGCACTATCAGACCCTTTTTTCCAGGGAGCTATCACCTCCATGCTGAAACCTCCAGAAAACATGCTCTTTCAAAGCCTTCAGGCATGGTACTTTATCTTTTCTCTCACCCCCTGCTCTTTCTAAGGCCAGAACCATTTCAATTACAGATGTTTTCCATTTGCTTCCATCCCTGCTTGAATCTACCTCTCTCAAGTTTGTGAAGGATGCTCTGACTGTGTCATAGTGCCCTACCAGGGGTAACCGTATTGCTTGGCCCAGATGATGGATCCTGGGATGTAGGAGGCATAGGCCACATCACTTTCAAGCCCTGTCCAGGTCTCCTCAGGAATATCACAGCGATTATACTGCACATCTGCTGAAAGAGAGAAGGAATGAAGGGACAGGAAGAGACTCATAAAGAGAAAGAGGTGAATGAGGGTTGGGGAGAGGACAAGCAGGAAATTAGTATATGCAGCAGGTGGGACCAAAAGGGCACGTGGGAGATCAGCATGGAGGAAGAACAATAAAGACCCATGGAGGAAATGCAGCTGGAACCAGGGTAAGTAGGAATGCTGCCTCCTCATACTCTAGAAAGAGATTCCACACTCCTGCTTGCACCCCCGCATGTCTGATTGTGCTCCTGTCTATGGAGCATCATAAGAATAATTTCTCTGAGACTCTGTTTTCTCATCTGTAAAATAATTGGGCTGGACTAGATCATCATCATCTCTTCCAACTAGTTTCAAACATCCTAGAATTCTAAGCGCAGCAGATCTCTCTCATCTGTTTTCCCTCATATATCCTATATCCCTCCCTATCCACAAACCCAATACCAATATTCTAATCAGGATTGACAGGGGCAGACCAGTGCTCATACATTTAGATTCCAGGCCCCTCCCCACAAGATCACTTTGCAGAGCATCTTCATCTAGCCTTTTCTGCCCAGATTCATCTTCATATGAAAGGCAGATCCTTCCTCTCTCCCAAGCACTACAAGGACCCATTGAGTGCTAACTATATTTACGTAGTATTTAATCTAAAGGATAAGTGCAGAGAAAGAAAGGGAGGAACAATAAAACGTGAATAAAAACATTTCCAGTCTTTTCTACCTGTGTTCTGATCACAGGACCAATTATCTGGGAGAACTGAGGGGTCAATGTTCCCACACAGCCGCCTCCATTTCCCACAGTTTGGGAAGGAACACTGGACCCAGACCAGACATTGACCTGTGAGAGGAAAAAAATGAAATAAGAGACTTAAAAATATGCACTTCCTTCTTTAATCCAACTAAAATCAGGATAACCCTCCCAACTCCCAGGATCACATAGTCAGAGAGACATGAGAGATCAACCAGCTGGATCCCTGACTTGTAAGTGGGAAACCAAGGCTCAAAGAGGTAAATGGCTTGCTGAGGATCAGCTAACTTGGTGATAGAGCTGAACTTAGAACTCAAGCCTCATGCCTTGATCTTTTTCCTGTACTAGTCTACCATGTCTCCCTGCCCCAAGGCTGAAAGGAATGTTTCTTGTATTGACAGTTCTCAAATTAAAAGGCTGCCTGACATCTTTCCAGATAGTGCCTTGTTCTCTGCTGGCATGACACTACTGAAAAGATCTTTTGAAGGGCTAACCTGCATCTCTTTTGTGCACAACATCCAGAGTTCTTATCCAAATCGCAACTGATTTACCTGTCACCAAATCACCAAGTTGCAAACTTTAGGACCAACAGCGTCAGAGTTCACTCTTCTCCAAAAGACACAGGTCTAAGCCTATCACTTCTCCATCAACTATTAACTTTGGGCCCTGCTCAAATACCAAGTCTTCCTTTTATCCATTACCTTCCAGACCCCCACCTCTCCTAAGCTGACCCATGTCTCTCAGCCTCTCCCTTCTCCCACCAAAACTCTTCCATTGTGGTCTTGAAAACTCCACTGACTTGAGCAACAAAAGTCCACATATCCTCAACCTCCAATCTGAACTTCTATCTCCTTTTTGCAGCCTGGAGACCCACTAATGACACTGCCCCACCTAAACCACCCCCACCTGCAGCCCTGTAAATGGAGTCAGTTCCTCTCACACTCCCCATGTCTCTTGGGACAGAAAGTCAGGCTGGCATTATCATTACCCCATTGCTACTACTCCCCAACTCTTATAAAAACCCTTCCTCCCTTGAGGTCTATGCCATGGGACTATCCTTACCTCTCATATCCCTTGTAGCTTCTCTCCACCTCCTGCCTTCATTCCAAATGACCTCTATATCCACAGGAACGCCTCATACAGCACCCCATTCTTTCAGTGCCTTGACTTTTTTCCTCATGTCACCTCTGGAACCCACTCCCACTCCTGCATGCCCCACCCAGTCATCTGCAGGAACTGCACACCGTCTGAGCCACTTATCCAAACATCCTCTCTATAAAAATGCCCCGTCTTCCACCTCACTTGCTCAAAGACTCCTATAGCAACTCTCATTTTACCTAGTTCTCCAACCCACTGCCCACTACCATCCTCTCCATCTGGAAGCAATTTCCATTCTTCACTCTGTTCCACTCTGGTTTGATTACTTGACACTTACTTGGATTCTCTTGTAGACACCTTCAGCCCCCTTTCCCACTGTCCTTCTTCCTACCCAGATGACAAAACACCAACTGGAATGAACCCTCTCTCCACCTTTTCTGAGTCTACACTCAAGCAATTGAGTTGACAGAGAAAAATCACATAACGGACACATAGGTATCGCTAAATATTAACTATTTAACATTATCAACCAACATATTTCTCTAGTAAGTTCACTGTCTCCCACTGCCAAATTTTACCTTAAATACCTGATCATAAGGGATGGCTCTGAATCCCATCCCTCCAGAATCATCCCTCAGAAAAGAAGGTGACTTGTATTTGGGTCCTTTCAAAATATCACAATATAAGAGATCACTTGCGCAATTACTTTTTTTTTTTTTTTTTTGAAACACAGTCTCGCTCTGTTGCCCAGGCTGAAGTGCAGTGGCACAATCTTGGGTCACTGCAGCCTCCACTTCCCAAGTTCAAGCAATCCTCCTACTTCAGCCTCCCAAGTAGCTGGGACTACAGGCACGCACCACTACACCCAGAAAATTTTTTGTATTTATTGGTAGAGGCAGGGTTTTGCCATGTTGCCCAGGTTGGTCTTGAACTCCTGGGCTCAAGCGATCCACCCTCCTCAGCCTGCCAAAATGCTGGGATTACAGGGGTGAGCCACTGTGCCTAGCCTTAATTACCTTATCTTAAAGAACAAAGTACTGGTTGGGACTAATATGTTAGTCTGAAATGACAGTTGCCAATAGTAGTTTTGGATGTTTACAGAGGTGACCTAGCAAGACTAGAAAAATAGAGTAGGAGGAGAGGCCAGGAGTCAAATAAATTAATACGGATCAATAATACAAATTGTTAGCTGTGAAAGCAACGAGTACTTACAAGAAAATGAGTAGGAAAAAATCGCTATAATGATATGGAACTGGAAATTTATGGCTTGGAATGATATTTTTGACAAGAACATTGTACTTTTTAAAAAAGTTTCAAGTAATCTAAAGGAGAAGATAATGTGCTCTGGAAAACTGTGTTTGATGCCCAGATGTGGCTCTATGATAATGAAGACTGATGTCACAGACACATGTTAAGAGGATTTCACTTGACCACTCATTCCTGAAACACTAGTTTCCTGGGTTCTGTGATGTCTCATTCTCCTGTCCCCCTCCCCTCAATTTTACTGGCAACTTCCCCCGCAGTCTTCTTTGCTGGGTTCTCCTTGTTCTTCAATCTCTAAATGTCAGGGGTCCCAAAGCCCAATCATGGGCCTTCTCTCCCCGTGATACACTTTCTCCTGAGGCAAACTCACCCATTCCCACGGCTTTGAAATCCATTTTCATACCTGACAGAACACAGCTGTCTACTTATAGCCTCTGTTCTGAGTTCCAGATTCCTAAGCCACCTTGCTCTTTGATACCTCTATTTGGATGTCTCACAAGGATCTCAAACCTAAATGTACCCAAACCTGAATGCTTAATTTTATCCCACAAACTTTTTCTTCCTCCACTCTTTCCCATCTCCCTTCACGTAACTGTTCAAGCCAGAAACAATCATCCTTGACATACCCTCTCCTGCTCCAACCTTCCAGTATCCAATTCATTACCAACTTGTAACAATTTTACCTCCAAAACATACCTTAAGACCATCCACTTTTCTCTTTCTCTACTTTCATCATCCTAATCCATTTTATTTTTTATTTTTATCTTATTTTTTAAATATATTTTTTTGAGACAGGGTCTTGCTCTGTTACCCAGGCTGGAGTGACGTGATATGAACATAGCTCACTGCAACCTCAAATTCCTGGGCTCAAGTGATCTTCCTGCCTCTGCCTCCCAAAGTGCTGGGATTGCAGATGTAAACCACTATACTCAGCCATCATCCTAATCGAAGCCTAATACCTAATCCTCGTACTAACATCTTAACTGGTCTATTCCTGTCTTCTCCCCACACTCCATCTCCAATTAATCACCAAAGGATCCTTTTAAAACATTAAAGATGTCACTTCCCTGGTTAAAACCCACCAGTGGCTTCCCCCTGCACTTAGGATAAAATGTTCACTCTGTACATGGTCTTTGACCTAGCCACTGCCTCCCTCTTTCCAGTCATCCAGAGCCACTTTCCCAACTTGCCTCCCCTTGCTCTCTAAGCTCCGCAATCACACTGGCTTTCTTTTAGTATCTGGAACATGCCACACTTCACCCTACCTAAAACTCTTTCTTCACTTGGATAACTTCTACTCTGGCTTCAGGTTTTAGCTGAAATACTGTTTCCTTAGAAATGTACTCCCTGACCAGCCCAATCTTACTTCCTCTCATGAGACACTGCTCTTTTCCTTCCCTGTACTTAAGTACTTAATGCAAATTGTATTCATTAAATAATCCTTCCTACTTCAGGAGCACTCACCTCTCCTTGGCAACTGTTAAGAAACAGGAAGAATGGTTTATTTATAGCAGGAGGCTGATAAATCCACTACAATCACAATTCAACTCACAAGCACCACCTAGAGGGTGAACCCCCATCTGCCAGCCTAAGATCTAGTCCATGCAGTAATTCTTTTTTTTCCATTTCTTTTTTAATATAAATTCACTTTTTTTTTCTTTTTTATAGAGACAGGGGTCTCACTATGTTACCCAGGCTAGTCTTGAATCCTGGACTCAAGCAAGCCTCCTGCCTCATCCTCCCAAAGTGCTAAGATTACAGGCGTGAGCCACTGTGCCAGGCCCCTTGCAGTAATTCTGAGAAGTACAGGAGACAGAGCAACACAACTCTAATGACACCAATTTATTTGAACTAACCAGAGATCAGGTCAGTGGGGTCTGCAGTATCCCTAAAGTTCTCAACAAGCACATCTGAGTTTATATAGACACATAAAACCAAAAGAAAAAACCTTTTAGCTTCCTTTTTGACTCTATCTAGAAACTCCCTTCGGGTAGTCTGAACTCCAGGCCACCTGGTTGTTCAAATTAGACTTATACCTCAGTGCCTTATGTTACTATGTCATTATAACAAGAGGAATGGTTTATTAACCTGAACTACCTTTTTGGTGCCTGCATAGTCTTGGAGTTTTCTTCCAAGTATGTCCAAATTATATTATGCTTCCACAACCAAAACCACATATATGTACACATACAGATTAGACACTAGGTAACTTTTTATTCCACTGTTTCTTAAACTTGGAACTTGTTCTGTCTTTTTGCATTATGTTTTGAAGTTTTGTTTTTGTCTGGTACAAGTGTGTTTAGACTGTCGTCTATTTATTTAGTTTTTTAGAAATAAGGTCTTGCTCTATCACCAAGGCTGGAGTGCAGTGGCACGATCATTGCTTACTGCAGCCTCCAATTCCTGGGATCAAGAGATCCTCCGACCTCAGCCTCTTGAAAGCTAGGACTACAGGCACTACCACCACACCCAGCTAATTTTTTTTTCTTGTAGAGATGAGGGTCTCGCTGTGTTGCCCAAGCTGGTCTCAAACTCCTGGTCTCAAGTGATCCTCCTGCCTTAGTATTTTTGAATTTTTGGACACACTAGTATATTGTATGATCTATTTTATTTCTTGTCATAAAATTTACCATTATCAGGCCGGGCATGGTGGCTTACACCTGTAATCCCAACACTTTGGGAGGCCGAAGCAGGCAGATCACAAGGTCAAGAGATTGAGACTATCCTGGCCAACATGGTGAAACCCCATCTCTACTAAAAATACAAAAATTAGCTGGGCGTGGTGGCACGTGCCTGTAGTCCCAGCTACTCGAGAGATTGAGGCAGGAGAATCACTTGAACTCAGGGGGTGGAGGCTAAAGTGAGCGGAGATCGTGCCACCGCACTCCAGCCTGGTGACAGAGCAAGACTCCATCTCAAAACGAAACAAAACAAAAAATCCCTCCCTCAACTCTGTACCCATTCCTTTTTTTGTTGTTTGTTTTTGTTTTTGAGACAGAGTCTCACTTTGTTGCCCAGGCTGGGGTATAGCAGCACGATCTTAGCCCGCTGCAAGCTCCGTCTCCCAGGTTCAAGTGATTCTCCTGCCTCAGCCTCCAAGTAGCTGAGACTACAGGCACACGCCACCACACACGGCTAATTTTTGTACTTTTAGTAGAGATGGCATTTCACCACATTGGTCAGGCTGGTCTTGAACTCCTAACCTTGTGATCCACCCACCTCGGCATCCCACAGAGCTGGGATTACAAGCATGAGCCACCACGCCCAGCCTCCATTCCTTTTTATCTACCATTTTCTCCCTCTTACTTTCCATATCTAAACTAATTGAAAAAGTGTTTACTCTTCAACCGGCTATAAGCTGCCATTCAAACTTACCAACTCTTTCGGTAGCTGTAACCAAACCCCTAACGGCCTCCTAATTGTGATATGCTTGAGCTTATGTTTATCCTCTTTTGACTTCTTTACAATGGCATTTGACATGGTTGAGCACCCCTCTTTCTTTAAATTCTCTCCTCCCCTGGCATCTATAATACCACTCCTGATTTTTCTATTACCTTTCTTACCACATCTTCATTTTCCTCCTGGGAAACATCTAAAATGCTTTGTACATAGTAGGCACCCAGTAACTATGGATTATGTGAATAAATGACTGAATGAATGAAATCATTCTCTCAGCAGCATATTCCGCAACAAGTAGCTGTGAGAGATTAACTATATTCTTTGTAGAGTTTCCTCCAACATCCTAACCCTGCCTCTCTGCTCTATCTCAAATTTTCAGGCCAAACAGGTTTGCCAAACCAACTGAACTCACCAAAACCACTTATCTCTCCTTTTTGCAGGTCCCTGATCTGAGAATGATCCTGAACTGTCTCCTTTAGTTGGTCTTCCTGTCTGTGCTCATGTCCACCTTGAGTTTTCTCCACCTTCTCATCTTCTGGGAAGAAAAAAGAAAACGTGGGGTGGGGAGATGAAGAAGACAATCTTTGTAGATAGTAAAGGTCAGTGAAAGAAGGAAGAAGAATCACAGCCTAATAGTCTCAAGTCTTGGGCTGAAAATTCTCAGCCTGCCCATGGTCCCATTCCCTAATTTCTAGAGCAAGTACTTGAGCCAGGTTTCAAAGTATATCTGACTGTACTTACGAGCTTCCTTCTTTCTTTTGCTTAAGGTGAGTCTATTGGATTTCTTCTTAGAGGGTACAGGATCTGGCTGGCCTAGCTTAGACGTTCTTATCTCAGGGGCAGCTTCACCTTCCCAAGACACTGAAATCTCTTGAGTATGTGGTACCTCCTCTCTGAAAATGAGGTTTTATTTTAATGAAAGGTAAACATAGAACAATTGCAGAACCTTCTTTTGAAAAAACCCAAGAGTAAAAGGAAGACAGATGAATCCTAAGCTTTCTAAGGCCTCCTGAGGTCATTTCATCCATCTACTTGCCTGTTTTTCCCAACTCAAACAGGTATCTTTCCTGAGCTGCGAGAAATCTATAGAAATATGATAAATGACCAGATAGACAGACAAACGGACAGATAGACTTACTGACCATGATTTACCAATGTGTAGTCCATTCTGTGTTCAACTTGCCCCACCAAAATAAACTTACCCATTAGTATTATCAGTATCAGTAGCAGAAGCAGTAATTCCTGGCTCCTTGGCTGATTGGTTGGATACTATGGGCTGGGCACAGGAAGTCTCTGCAAAATCAAGGCCAGATCCCATCCCTCCCAAAACAAAATACTATAAGCAGAGAAGCAAAAAAACAAAAAAGCCACTGTATTATGCCCTAACATTTTCTCTAAAGTGTCTTCTCCCTGTCATCTGAAAGAGCCTACCTCTGGCCTCTTGTCATATCATAGAACTTTAAATATTTAAATTTTCAGGAAAAACTGCAAATATGTATCTTTCTGCAAGCCTTTCCAGATTGATTTGCCTTATTCCAGGATGGCCAGGTAATGATAATTTTGTGTACATAAAAAAATTATAGGCCAAGCACAGTGCCTCACGCCTGTAATCCTAGCACTTTGGGAGGCTGAGGTGGGTGGAATGCCAAAGCTCAGGAGTTCAAGACAAGCCTGGGCAACATGGTAAAACCCTGTCTCTACTAAAATTCAAAAAATTTGCCAGGCATGGTGGCATGCACCTGTAGTCCCAGCTTCTCGGGAGGCTGAGGCAGGAGAATTTCTTGAACCTGGGAGGCGGAAGTTGCAGTGAG